CACACACACACACACACACACACACACACACACACACACACACACACACACACATATATATAGTATGTGTGTGTGTGAAACATTTTAAGAGCGGAATTAACATTGCTTTGTATTCATGAAATTTATATTCATATTTATATGAAATGTAAAATAAATATTTAATCAAATTAATATAAACATCAATTTGTAAATGCACCAGTGTGCAGGCATTTTTTGTGTTTTATATACATAAGATACAGTAAGAAAATGAACAACGAAACAAATTAAAACAAAGACAAATACAATAAAACAAAGATACAACTGAAATAATCTGTGCTTTAATTTTTCCATGAAGGTCTACTAACATTACTGTTTGTAATATAGCCTACAAAAGAAATCTACTGAAGTAATTCAATGTAAATGAACAATGCATAGTTTTTACTTTATGAATTGATAGATTAATGCTTATTAAACTAACGTTATTCAGATTGAGAGCTGCGAGTGATTTTCTCTTTGCATTTTGTTGTTTGATTAACATTGATGGCCCAAGCGCCAGTCACTGCTGTCACTTTAAGACAATATTGACACACATCGGATTTTCTCCCAACTGTTCATGTCAACTTAAGACATACACTGTGTTTAAGTGAACACTCTCCAAGCTGGCCATTTTGACATATTTTGTGTGTATTTGATTTCTTGGATGTGCTTGTCTAGTTGTGGTCCGTATTGGAGCGCGCGCACACATTTCAGCCTGGGGGAACAGCGACTCCTGCGTGGATTATTGTGCTTTAAACGTTTTATCATCAAACATGTCCCGCAATTTAGCAACAGTAAAAACTGCATTTTACAACAATCACCGATTGTGCTGATTCTGATGTTAAGTTTGGGTTTTAGGGAGGAACGAATGCATACTGCTGTTAAGGGAAGGAAGTTGCACTAGACAATTTTTGGATTTTTCAAATATTCGGTTGGAAATTGTAAGGAATTGAATTATTCAATTAACAGTTATTTAGGAATTTTACAGCAAGTTCACAACCCAGTCATTTATTTTAGCATGGCATTGTAGATTCTGTCGCAATTAAGCAGCAACTGAACAGTGTTGCAGGAAACACTGTCAGAGTATTTTAGTACCGTATTCTGTCCTCATCTGTGAATTGTTCACAGAATCAAACATAATGAAAATCATTCAGTATGATGATTTTAGTATTTTTTTTGTGACATGAAACTGATTCTAAATAAGATTCCATTCACAACAATACAGGATGTACTGCAGCACATCATACACATCATAATACCACAAACAGAAGAATCGGGTTTTAACACTAGTGAGAATTCAGATCAAATCACTGATTACAGAATATTGTAATGTTTCAGAAATAATGCAATCCTCTTTCACACTGTAAAGGAATGGGGACAGGTCTTACTCTTGCCCAGGAGTAATCCATTGGGAAGGTAGGAGGAGGAACTTCCTGTGCTGGAACAATGATTCCTTTTGCGACAAGGTCATCATACACAAACCTTCCCAACACAACAGAGAAAATAAACTATTAATGCTTCCACTGTTTGTTCAACTCAATTCAGACTACAAACTTGCTTTCACAACACAGGTAAATATGAGCTCGTATGCTGCGGTGCTGGAGAGTCAGTGCTGCAGGATACATAAAGGCATAACCGCAATAGATACAATAGTTAAACATTTCTACAAGTTTGCCGTTTCAACTAGTATATCGTCCACCCCTACTGATTAAGAATACAGCTGTGAAAACCTTATATTGCCAAAGCCATTCTACACAACGTACTTAATAATAAAGGGCCTGAATACTTAAATTGTAGTGTTTAGGTTATATTATACTTCCTCTAGACAGAATACTTCTGATTTCTGTTACTCACTTGATGACATCACCTAATTCATCAAAGCTATTGGGCACAAATGCACCTGCTTCCTGCAGTGCTTGATTTTTGGCCACAGCTGTCTCTGACGCTTGATTGGCACACGCTCCCGCATGGCCAAACTGCACCTAAAACATTTAAATTAACACAATACTATGTTACTGCTGTCACTAGTTAGGTTATCACATACTGAACAGTTCTAGAGCATACAAATTTCCCATAACATTCAATGGCCCTGTCCCAAATGCAGCACTTCATGTGGACTTGTGCCTTTGTTGGCGCATATCCACTAAGTCCACAAGACCATAGGGTGTCTTATTTCATTTTATGCTCTTGAGCCCTGCCTATGCATTACAAGTGTGGACTCGAAAGACCACCAAATGGGCTGAGAGTGCCAGTTTGACCAGGGCCAATATGCATTAAGTATCTCAAAAGCCATGTAAAAGGATGTACCTCAGATGAGAACATGGTGGCACACGTTCCAATACACCAGCACACGACTGGTTTAGTGATTCTGCCGTCTGCAATGCCCTGACAGATGTTATACTCTTCTGTGCCACCAATCTAAAAGACAGCACACATATTATAAATAGAATTACAGTGCCTTAGCAAATTACTCAATGCTTATATTACCGTCATATAATTATGGTAAAAAATATTCAGTCAAAGAATTGACCACCAGTAGATTATACACGAACACGTTAACAAATCTGTCCATTTTTACAGAGATTAATCTGAAAGATAAATAAAGGATCATTTTTAAAATTATATTATATAGAAAAAATGCAAAAGGTTACAACACCTTGTTTGATTTTGAACATGTTCTTGTCATTTGCTTTTGATAATCATTTGCTGATGAATATGAATTCTTAGAATTGAGTCCACCTTTAAACATGAAGCATTACTCTCATCTTACATAAAACAGTGCTGCACACTCATCTCTCCATTCAAGACAACTGAGGAGTTTGAGCATTTATTGATACAAATACATGTAAATATCAGTCTTATGTGAAAATGTCTTGAGCAGGAGCTCTCAAATCTTTCTCATCTCACCTCTCCCAGCACGACAATCATCTTGACTCCTGGAGTGTCCTGATATCTCAGCACATGCTCCATGAATGTAGAGCCAGGAAATCTGTGGACGAGAGCGGCACATTAGCCAGCTTAGATGTTGATTGGTTTATTAGCTCAATTAACTAATAATTAGTATTTTCTGTATCCTGCTCTAATTGACCTTACAATAGCAGTTACATAACCACATCCAGAGCTTTTCAAAAGCTGGTACTCCATCAAACAAAATGACTTCAAATGCAGTTTATCATAGTTTATCATTGAGCAAAAATCAGAAAGCATAAGCTTTTGTATCAGATTGTTATGTATGAGAAAAATAAAATAAGGGGAAATCTACACAAGTATCAAGAAGACAGTCGCACTGTCATAAACACTGACATCAAAATACAGGAATGCAAAATGCAAATGGAAAAAATGCAGAGGCAAAAAGGGCTAAATTGTGTGTGTTTTGTGTTTTTCTTAAAATAAAGTTAACTTTGGCTGCATGTTAGATTATTACTCATCAAAGAACAGAGATGTTTAAATCAGATATTCACACAGGATTCTATTTAGCATGCTTTTGTTTTTCAAATAAAATAAAATAATCCACACATAAGATGAAGTCAGCAATTGAACAACTATCCAGCGATTTTTGGCTGATTTCAGTAACATAACGAACAAAACTCCATTAACTAGCAACTCTGGATACCTAGTATTCGAAATGCATGTGCTCTGAACACTTTTTTAATCACAGTTGAAAGGTTTGTATGTGTCCTACAGTTCAGTATGATTTAAAAACAATAAGCTTTAAAAAAAATGGTGGATGGCAACAAGGCTTCTCATCGCAGCAAACTGATTGGCTATTTGGGTTGTCAGTCACTTATGTTCACAAGACATGTTCTGTTAGTCACCTGTCTCCTCCAATAGCAACTCCCTCAAAAACTCCATCAGTAGTGTGCGATATGATGTTGTTGAGTTCATTGGACATTCCTCCCGAGCGGGACACATATGCCACACTGCCCGGTCTATACAGCTTTGATGCCAGGATATTGTCAAGCATCCCACCTGTGTTCCCGATCTTAAAGCAGCCTGGCTTTATACCGCCAACCTATAACACATAAGTGTACTTGAGTAAATCTCATGAATAAAACAAATATTGACAAGCCATGAAAGAGATTTTAAGACCATGAAAGATGTTACTATACTCCCATGGCGGTTTGTATGGACTTTTGAATTTGTTTGTAATACTCATTATTTTCAGTGGTGATTCTCATTAGATCCCTGTTACTGCAATGGCAAAATTACCAGTTTTCATAAATAGACTAATCTGAGTGTTCTCTGAACGACTATTGTTATGTTCAGACTCTGATTGGAACATTTGCGAGTAACACACCATTACAGACATTATTTTCTTTAATTAGTCAAATTACAGTGGGTAAAGAAGAGAATCACCCCCCTTTAAAATAATCACATTTTGTTGCTTTGAAGCCTGAAATGAAGACTGACATGGTTTTTGTTTTATCCAGCTGTATTTAATCAGTGCAACTTATAACATCCAAGTGAAAGATATAACATGTCAGAAAAAATAAATTAAATTAAATTAAAAAACAGAATCACTGAGTTGGAAAAAGGATCACCCCTTGTGTCAGTATTTTGTTGAACCACCTTTTGCTTTACAGCCTTTAGTCTGTTGTGATTTGTCTCTACTAACTTTGCACATCTAGACTTTGCAATATTTGCCTACTCTTCTTTGCAGAACTGCTCAAGTTCAGTTAAATTTGAAGGTGACCATCTGTGGACTGCAGTGTTCAAGTCATTCCACAGATTTTCAGTGGGGTTTAAGTCTGGGCTCTGACAGGCCATGCAAGGACATTCACCTTTTTCTCCTTCAACCACTGTGTGCTCAGTTTTTCTGTGTGCTTTGGGTCATTGTCATGTTGGAAGGTAAACCTTCTTCCCATTGACAACTTTCTGGCGGAGAGCTGCAGATTTTCCTTAAGAATTTGACAGTATTTTGCCCCATCAATTTTTCCTTCTATCCTGACAAGTGCCCCAGTCCCTGCTGCAGAGAAACAACCCCATAACAGGATATCACCACCTCCATGCTTTACTGTAGGAATGCTGTTATTTGGATGTTGAGCTGTATTGGATTTCCGCCAGACATATGGTTTGGTGTTGAGGCCAAATAATTCAATTTTAGTCTCATCTGACCATAACACCTTTTTCCATGTGGCCTCAGATTCTTCAAGGCCTGTTTTGGCAAAGCTCAGTCGTGACTGCATGTGGCCTTTCTTGAGGAGTATCTTTTTTCTTGCAACCCTCCCATACAAGCCATATATGTGGAGAATTTCTGATGTTGTCACATGCACACAATGGCCACTCTTTGGCATAAATTCATGCAGCTGCTTCAGAGTTGCTGACACCCCCATAACAGGATCTTACCACCTCAATGCTTTACTGTAGGAATGCTGTTATTTGGATTGTGAGCTGTATTGGATTTCTGCCAGACATATTGTTTGGTGTTGAGGCCAGATAATTAAATTTTAGTCTCATCTGCCTCAGAATCTTCAAGGTGCATTTTGGCAAAG